TGAGGGCTGCTGCGTTCTAATTGGCCCCTGTTGTTCCTTTATTTTCTCTCGCTCAACCCCAAAAAAAGACAAAAGAACAAAACTGTAGCAGGCCGTAAGTGCAAAGGAGACAGGAGGTCCTTCAGGACATCTGTTAAAATTGGAATGATACAGAGAAGATTAGCATGGCACCTGCGCAAGGATGACACACATAAATCGAGAAATGGTCCAAATAAAAAATAAAAAATAAATAAAAAATAAAAATAAAAAAAAGGAGACAGGAGGCCTGGACACTTTTTTTTCCGTTTTGTGTTTCTCCGGCGATGGTCTTGAGGTACGATCATTGAAGTGACTGCCCCCTTCCCCGGAATCCTTCACGCGGTTCATCTGAGATTTGAACATGGGTCCTTATCTGAACAGTTCATGGGCATACCAACTGAGAATTATGCCCCTTGGCACTGGACGGCGTTTGGTGTAGGTTGCGCCCCACGTACTTGTCCCGAGCCTGGCATAGCGCCCTTACAGACTAATGATCTCAATAGCTCGGTGGGTACAGCTTTGATATTGTAACTTGGAGGTCCCCGGTTCAACTCCATACTATGCTCATTTATCATTTCTATTATACTGTTCGTCATATCAGCTAGGGTTGATCCTCTGGATGGATTTGGGTGGGGACATGTGCCTTTCCTGCGGAGAGATGATGTAGGATGGATGCTACTCTCTTGGGCAGGAGAGTGATAAGGGGTTGTTTGGGTGCATGGTGATACCGTGGCAGTCCTATGGTGAGCAGGGGTGCCTTGTAGGGAAACCAATGTCGAATCAAGAGGTGTGTCCTACTCTCGATGTCTGTAGACCCATTCTGGGGAGGTGGGTTACCAGAGGTTGATCGGGGGTAGTTGATGAGGGTTGAGGTCTCCACCATCACCACTGGTTGATTCTCCCTAGCGAACAGACATAAGCAAGGCTCATTAGTAGCAGAAAGCAACCACATACATCCATACAGACTATCACACTAGCTCACATGACAACCAGCATATTCAACAACCAACAGTAGCCATATATGAACCCAGCTGTGCTAGAGGGGCTCATGGGTTAGAGTCTGTTAGACCTTGGTTAGCCGACCACTAGACACTGCCTATGGGTACCCTCCCTGCTCACAGGACTAGTTGAGAACGTCGTGCCTAGCTCCCGAAGCACCCGTATAAACGAGGCTTGTACGCTGTTATGTGCCTAAACTGGGGCTGGATGGGGGAGCTCATTCAGCGTCAGTGCCCGCGTCCGCTGTCTGGTCACGTTGCTCCAGTAGAGAGTGATGTTCCTCGCATGAGGTAAGATAGAAAAGGAGCGGGGGAGCGCCAGGAGATATATCGAGAAGGGTGGTAGGATGGGAGTCTCGGGAGGGGGAATAGGTCAACCTCTCTGAAAAAGGGTATGCACGCAGTTGCCCTTTCAAAAATGGAAAAGACCACACACAAGACTGTATGAGCCCCAATACATGGGCATGGTTGGGCCACGACAGTCAGTTTATAAGTCAAGGAGGGCCTCTTGGCTTCTTTGTTGCAATTCTATGGCTGGGTCAGTGATTCAGTGGCCGCACACCCTTCTTTTCGTTCTCGTTGTTTTTTAGCACCCCCTTCTCCCACACTGCAAGGCCAAAAAGAAATGATGATTTTTCCGTTGTCATCCATTTCATCAGCCATTCCCAAGGGTGTTTTTTTGTTTTTTTCTTCATTTCTACAGCAATTTGCTTGGTTAGGAAAGGGGAATCGTATTGAGCATCTTTTGGCAAAAGCTTTTTTGAAGTTTTTTCTTGTTTTGCTTTACTAAATAATTAACATGATTGTGCAAGGCCTCAGATCCCTGGGATGATAAGAGCACCTGGGGGATTTATACCTTGCGGCTGCTGGTGGCTCGAATAAAACGCCCAGTCATGATCTCTGCATCTGGTCTGGAAGTTGCCCCAAATACAGCTATAATGACTGGCCGTTCTATTCGGGTGAAGACGATAGTCGCGTGGAGTGTGCGTTTACCCCTTTGCTTTCTCCTGTTTGGCTGTGTTTGCCTGATCTGTGGGAGGTAAGGGCACTCACCCGATGTGACCGTATTTCTGGTTAGATGCACCCTACATCCTGGAGAAACTCCTTTGCACTTCCCCCCCCCCCAAATAAAAAGTGCGGTGATAGCAGCCGGGTGTTAGCGGTGTCTGCTCTCCAGTACACGGCCTGAGTCGGGGCAGGGTCAGAGCGTCAGAAGGTTTGGGCCCATGTCAAATCCGTACGCCCCAAAAAAGAAAACAAGCTTTGGCCGTGATTGCAGTTGGATACACTTTTTGAAGTACTGCCCTCAGTGAGGGCACTTCGGCAGAACGAGGAACACCGGGAGCACGGCTGTCAGACTCACAAAGAAGAACAAAAAACAAAAAAGCCCAAAAAAACAAACCAAGCTTTCGCCGTGATTGCAGTTGGATGCAGTGCGATGCACTTTTTGGAGTACTGGCCTCAGGGCATAGGGCCTCGTTAGACACTCCTTACGAGTTCCTTGCGCCACAAGGAATTTTCCTTGTGGCTCATAAGGGAATTCGGGCTCTTCGTTCCACCTGTCCTCGGGGATGTCGCCCGAGGACATTTCCTAAGACTGATGTCAGGAAAAAAAAAAGAAAAGAAAAGAAAAAACAGTTGTGCTTCAGGCCTTCAGCCAATAGGGTGCCGCCACGATCCAGATTCTCAGCTGTAACGTCTATCTACCCRTGTGCMSTCTYCTCTCCGTGAAACGCGGATTCCTTGTGCCCAAGGGACCTCGTGAGGTCCCTTGGGCACAAGGAAGAAATGGCTGGGGCCACAAGGATGCCACAAGGAATTTTCCTTGTGGCGTTTTCACATTTCTTTTTCAATTTCGTCCCCAAGGACAGGTGGAACGAGCACGTCCTTGTGGATTTCACGTCCCCAAGGAGTGTCTAACGAGGCCCATACTCACACGGGGACCTATAATCCCAAAATCCCCAAAAAAAAGGGAAAATGCCGGTCACACGGATCTACCAAAATCCCCCCAAAAAAGGGAAAATGCCGGTCACACGGATCTACCAAATTCGCAAATGTACTATCCCAGTGCCCATTTGTCAGTGGCCTGGGAAGCCGCGGGGCAAGGGATTTTGCGGTCACCTCTGGAGGTGACCGCAAATGCCCTTTTTTTTTGCATTTTCTTCAAAATTTGGCAAAAATTCGTTCACAAAAGTTCTTGCACAATTAGTGGATGGAGTCCTGTGACCAGCGAAGTACCAAATCGGATTTCCCATTTCTCCAGACGGCCGCAACCTTGTCCCATCTGAAAAGGTACAGCAATGTGACCCCAACCATGCCCAAAACCTCAAATCGGCCCTTCCCAAATCCGCATATTTTGTGGATTTGGGGTTGCCGTGTGACGGCACGCTCACACTAGGTACCCGAATTCCCAAAAAATGGGAAAATGGGAACGGCCGTTTTGAGGAAATGCGGCCCTGGCCGGTCACACTGTGTTCCCAACACGCTAACAACAAGGTCGCTACATCGCACTCTGCAAGGTGCTTGTGGAGGGCGCCGGTCACACGGTGGATACCTCAAATGGGAAACGCAATTATTCGTTTTTTATTATCTGTTTTTTCCTTCTTTTTTTTTTTGGGTCGTTACTGCTGGCCGTTCGCAGCAACGGGTGTCCATACGAACCTCTCTGCTGGTGCTCCGCGCGTCTGACCGCTCTGCACGTGCGCCCATTTCCCCAAAATTTAATCTCCTTTTCGTCATATTGATATGCTGGTAATATCGTGGGCTTCCATTTTTTCTCCAATTTTGCACAGTAATTCGGAAAAAGATTGCGAATTTGCGATAACCTCCAATCTGAGAGGTCACCGCAAATTTCCTCCCCCCCCGGCTTCGCAGGCTGCTGACAAATGGTCACCCCTTTTGAGAATTTGGGCAGTGTTCACCATGTGTGACTGTACCGGAACCCTTTTTTTGGAGGGAAATGGGGATTTGGTACCTAGTGTGAGCCTACCTGAGTATGCCCTCAGTGAGGGCACTTCGGCAGAACGAGGAACACGGGGAGCACAACTGTCAGACTCACAAAAAAAGAACAAAAAAGAAAAGTTAACCAAGCTTTGGCCGTGAAAGGGGTTGGATGCTTTTCAACGGCGCGAGTGTGAGTATGGGGCTCGTTAGACACTCCTCGGGGCGTTCTCGGGCTCCGAGGGAAAATTCTCGGGAGCGCCCGAGGATTTTCCCGCTTTCGTTCCACTCATCCCTCGGGACGATCCCCGAGGATGCTCCGAGGACTGGCCGCGGGGAGTCGTATAATTGTATACGCGGCCGCGGGAGGAGGTTTTGGGCGGCGGTCCACCGTCTGGTGTCCGTGTGGCCGGCCTTGGTCCACCACGTATGGGCGTCGAATTTGAAAAGGGACTGCCGCCGCCGCGGGAAAAGGAAACACGCGCGCGCGCGCGTGTGATTTCGAAATTCGAATTTTGAACCGGCCAAGCATGGCGTCTGGTGTGGCGGCGGGGGGAGGTGCGCAGGGGTGTTGCAGTGGCCGTCATGCGGATGACGTCGTAGCCGTATGGGCGTCAGCACAAACTTCCACGCGTATTATAAGACGTGACGCCCCCTGCGTAGGACGACTAGAGTGGGCGCCGTGTTCCACCTTGCGTGCTCGTGTTCGCACATTTTGCCGCCACCGCCATCTCCGCGAACTTCCACTCCCTGGCCAAGGACCACTGGTGGCGACGTTGTATCGTGGTTCGGGCGAGTTCTGTCGGCATGGATGACAGCGATGTCTTCTGTAGTCGATGTGCGTTCGGTCGGTGACAGGGATGAGGGCGGGGTTAGGTTGTCCGTTTTGGAGAGGGTTGCAGTGACGTCTGCCGTCGCCGCCGCCATCATGCGTTGCGAGATGGAGGTCGAAGGTGAACGGGTGACGGCACGGCTACGCGCACGAAGAAGGAAGGTGATGCAGGCGTCGGCGTGTGAAGGATTCTATAGCGTCGCCGTTTGTGACGTCGTGTTTGAGGTGTGATGTGCCCTTGGGTGTGGGGGGCTGCCGAGGGCGACTCCGAGGTGGTGGATGAAACGGAGGACGGGGGGGCCCTGGGAGGATCTTCGTCCTGCAGACGATGCCACTGAAGAGTACTTCCGCGACAAATTACAGATGTCTCCACGTGTCTTCCGCGAGATTGTTGAGAACTTGTCGCCGATTCTCCAGCGACGTGTGACGTTCTACAGAGAGCCTTTGCAGCCAGACCACATCGTCGCCTACGCGCTGTACAGATGGGCGTCTGGCGAGACGTACGAGAGCAGCAGCTGCAGCTTTGGAATTGGCAGGGCTTCGGGTTTGGTGGCTGTCCGGGACGTCACTGCTGCTCTGCTGTCGGTGTACAGGGAGAAGGTGGCGTGGCCGACTGGGGTGCGGAAGGCGGTTGTTCTACGTGCTTTTGCAGACAAGGGTTTCCCCAACTGCCATGGGTGTATCGACTGCACCCATATCTTCATCGACAAGCCGGCGAACGCACCTCCAGAAGACTACTACGACCGCAAGAGACAATTCTCTGTCGTCGCTCAAGTTGTGGTGGACTTGGACTTGCGCGTGCTCGATATGTTCGTGGGTTATCCGGGGAGCTGCCACAACGTTCGGGTCATCCATTTGTCCAATCTATGGTCGCGTGCGGCGGCGGGGGAATTGTTCACAGGGCCTCCTGTGCTGCTACCGTTCCAAGTGCAGACGAATGGTTATCTGCTGAGGACAATGGTTACCCGCCGAGCGAATGAATAGTTCGACGAGCACAGCGCAGACCACGTTCGAGACCCGTTTCGACAACAAGCAGAAGACCGCGAGGGGGGCAGTGGAGAGGGCGTTCGGGAGACTGAAGGGAATGTGGCGGTTGTTTCTTCGCTCGCACAAGACGAACATGGAGACCTTGCCGCAACAGTTCGTGGTCTCTCTTATACACATCTAGATGTGTATAAGAGACAGGACCACGTTCGAGACCCGTTTCGACAACAAGCAGAAGACCGCGAGGGGGGCAGTGGAGAGGGCCTTCAAATGTGGCGGTTGTTTCTTCGCTCGCACAAGGCCAAAATGGAGACCCTGTTCGAGACCCGTTTCGACAACAAGCAGAAGACCGCGAGGGGGGCAGTGGAGAGGGCCTTCGGGAGACTGAAAGGAATGTGGCGGTTGTTTCTTCGCTCGCACAAGACGAACATGGAGACCTTGCCGCAACAGTTCGTGGTCGTCTGCATCTTGCATAACACCTAATTCACGTCGGTATCCCTTTCGATGAAAACTTGTTGTGGGAGGTGGACGCCAATGGAGTTCGCCGTCGAGTGGATCTCGGGATCCCGCGCCCCCCCAGGCCCTTGGGCAGGTGCTGGCGGAGCGAATGACGCAGCGATGAGCGATGTCGGTGGCCCGACGTAGGTGGAAGAGCGTTCGACGGCCGTGTTATAAGGAAGCAGTGTGCGGAGAGATGATGGAGACGGTGGATGTGTCTCGGGGCGAAGAGCGGAGAACGTCCAGATTTCGATCTGTGACTAGTCTTCGTTTGCTTTCTTTTTTTTTTATTCATTTTTGTGGATCCGCGCCATAAGATTTTGAGGTTCGCAGTACTCTTTTTCCAGCTTATGCGCAAGCCACAGGGCGGCAGATACGGTGGCGGCGGCCGATAAATGTTTTGTTTCAGTCGTGTCGATGTCTAATTGGGGTCCGTGGTGTGAGACAGACGACCGATTAATGTGCTTTTTTAGTAGGCGGCGGCAGACGGGTGTGCTGTTTGAGTTGTTTTCGACATTTTTCAAAGCGCAAGGGCGTACACAATGTGTTTGTTTAATGAATGACAAGGGTTTCATGATTCCATTTTGCTTTTCGGTGGTTTTTAATCATTGCCGTCTACTGTTTTCGTCCACGTGAAAAAAACATAATTGCGTAGTGAGATGACGGCGTCCAATGGGACGATGACGATGTGAATCACAGCAAGCAATTGAGAACAACATTCAATTTTTTTATTCTGAAGTGCACAAAGTGCACATGTCGCCGTACATTTGTGTGCGCCGAATCATTCATGCAATCGTCGTGGAAGTGTTGTTATTGCTTATTGGTGACTGTATGAGGATTTACATCACGCTATGAAATCGTCAATCTCTTAGATTCAATTCAAGCGCATTATCAACAACACCTTTACAGAAAAAGCAGGAACAAATCTTCAACAACGATGACAAAACAGAGATGAAAAACTGAGAATAAAATAACAGGACGACGATACACAATCGCTGCACACCTTGCGTTATTGACTCTTCTCGCTGTCGCCGGAACTCTTGCCTCGAGTCCTTCCACACCCGCCTGCCATCTCCATGCGCGCCCTCGAAAGGGAAGTCTTCCTGAGTCACACCCCGTTCAACGGCACGACGAACGTCGTCGCGGCTCCCGGACAACGCAGGCGGGGTTAGGTTCATCCACTCAGGACGACCGTCGGTGCTGCGTGGAACTGACGGGGCACAACTCGCCTGCACTCTAGGCCGCTCCCTCGTCCTCTCCGACGTCTCCTGAGGCGCAGTACCACCCCTCATTCCCCTGCCGACCAATGTCACCTGCCCCGCGTCGTCGTCGGGATGACGGTTGACGATCACAGTGCGCGTCGCTGAAGATGGGCTCCCGCTCCGCAGGCCAAATGTGAGATCCACAGGGGGGAGGCATTCGTCCTCCTGGGCACCTTCATGGAGGAGGGACGTGTACGACTGCTTGTACTTCGTTCCGCGCCGATCATACAAGTGGCTACCCGTCCATTCCTGGGTAGACACGCTACCCAGCGGAACTGTCGTTGACACGTCTACGTCCACCTCCCCCTCGTCCGAATTGGGCAGAGGTTGCAAGTGAGGCGGGAGTCCTTCGTACGGTGACGGACCTGTCGCCCTTCTGTCTACACCGGTACAGATCGCAGGCCGGTGGCTGGGATACGTGTCGGACAACGTGGTAAGATTCGGCCGCCGCCCGTCCATGGCCACGCTCTTCTTCCCCCCTAGTTTCCTGCGACTACGTGAAGGCAACCTCCCCAATATGCACACCTGAACAAAGACGACAACCATAAGCAGAATCACGACGAGGAGGAGCACTGGCAGCTTGCGGAACACGTCGGCCATGTACGACAACCGTTCTCATACGTCCAACTAACGACGACAACGCACGACAACGTAACGGCTACCCAGACGGTGGCAAACAGCAGACGGCAAGTGACGACTGATGACGCCCTCACACGCTTTACATTGCGGACCACTGTGCGCGGTGACGGACCTACGCCACTGTGATTTTCGAAACGGCTGACCGTTGGAGGCCTTTCCGTTTCCCGCCGGCGCGGGCGAGGGCCTGGGTTCAGCCGGAAACGTCCACGGGCCCCGTCCGCCACCCAACCTTACCGTTGCCGTCGTTCCCACCGGAGTCGAACGTTGCTGGCCGCAAATGTCCGCCCACACCTCGGCTGGACCACCATTGTACCAGACTCCGAAATTTTCATGTCGTCAAAGGCTGCTGCCACCATCCCGATTTTCGCAGAAACTCGCACTCCGAGGGACCTCGCGACGTACCTTGGGGAACGCAGCCATTTGCCTGTAGCCCGAGGACGGCCCGAGGACGCGCCGAGGAAATGTTTTCACATCGGTTTCAAGGGAACGGTCTCCGAGGACAGGTGTAACGATCATTTCCTCGGGGTTTTTGAGCGCCCGAGGAGTGTCTAACGAGCCCCTTGAGTATGCCCTCAGCGAGGGCGTTTTGAGCAAGAGGAATATGCGCTGCCTTGCTGGCAGGGAAAGGAAGAAAAACACAAAAGGAGTGAAAAAGAAAAAACAGCAATGTTTTCCTCTCCCCGTAATAGTGGTCAGATGTATTCTGGAAAGTGATCGTTTGAGTATGGCCTCGGTGAAGTCCTTCCACGACATCATTGATCTGGCATGTTTTTTCCTTTCTTTTTTTTCCCCCCTTCAGGTGAAGTCCTTCCACGACATCATTGATCTCTGGCATGTTTTTTCCTTTCTCTTTTTTTTCCCCTTCAGGCAGACAGCCGGCACCGGGGCCACTTCCGAAATTCCCACTGCAGGTACCCAGACAAAGAAGGCTCGGAAAATGGCGGCGCACAGTGGGCAGGTAGCTTCGGGATTTTAGGTGCGGGTGTACTGGTGGTTTAACACTACACGGGGTGTTAAAAAAAAAAAAAAAAAAAAAAAAAAAAAAAAAAGTGTTATCAACTGGCCTAGCTCAGTTCGTACGCCCATGAGCTGTTGAAAGACAGAGCTGAGTTTGAATCCCTTGTCGAACCGTACCAAACAATTCTGAATTCAGGGCAGGTCAGTTGTACTGTATTGTCTAATGGCCTTTCCCCCCCCTTATCCCACCCCGCCAGAAAAGAAAAGTCCTAGTGTTAGCAGGCCCAAAGTGAAGGTATGAGTTGTATGTTCTGCAGTACCTCAGAGCATACTTACCACACTTAGCTCTGGGGACTCACTTGCATGCACCTGACTACAAATACGACTATGTTGGGCCGAAATTTGGTAGAGTGAATATGCCCTCTCCGCCGTAGGTCCCACTACTGCAGTCTTTCTTTTTTTTTTGCAGTGCATGTCATCGTTGTGCAGGGGCCATGATAATCTTCTGCATATCATTCTAATTGCTCCAGTCTATTTGTGGGGAGCAGCACATGTTGGGAACAGGGCCCAGCGTCCCGTATGAAAACAAATGCACAGAACAATTTGAGATACTGAGACCACTACCCAGCTTCAGCTAAGAATAACAGGGATATTCTTGAACAACTGCTGAAATTTTGAATGCAGCACTTGTTCTGTTGCACATAACGGGGTTGGACTGGTGGGTCTTCTGGGTTCTATGGTAGCCTTCTTTAGCTGTGTATTACCTGTCAGGCAACGGTTTGTCCCCCGGCCATTCCCGTTCGTCCAGGCCAAAGAGGAGGGTACAAATTGGGGTGGTCAGTTCACATGCAAATAGACCATCATTGTCGTTTCCAACGACTCTTATTCTGATTAGCTTGTCCTCCGGAGTGGCTGTATCCAGATCCTCTTTTATAGCCAGGTTGACCCATCCAGCCGCAGGCAAATCTGGCGTATAAGCAAGCAGTGTGGACACCCCTAGTGACACTCCGCTGACTTAAAAGATGGCCATAGGGATGTGTCTGTCTTCGTAAACCACCAGTACCTTTCCCCGCTTGGGAAACTACGCAGCGGTCTCAAAAACAGTTCGAAATTGCAGTACGAACACGGTTTCTGCAGTTTAAACAGGGCCCGAGTTTGAAATGCATTTCAAACTCGGCGCTGCAAAAGTATCACACGACATGAGTTTGTTGCTGCAGTTCAGTCAGCCACGTTGGCTGGTCTGCCCCTGGGCCTCGTTCCTTCGAACAATTTAGTAACCGGCTCGTGGTCCCCCTTCCAAGAGGCACGAAAACGGCAGCCGTTCGAATTTGAACGTCTTCGAAGGGACCACGGCTACAGGTCTCCCTTGGTCACCGGCATCCGCGATGAGCCACTCCACCTCCCTGCTCCGAACTGTCGAGGTAAGCCATTATCTCCCTCTTCCTCCCTTGTTCCCGCTCCCCTTCTCCTCCTCCTCCCGCACCTGCCCTCTCCGTCCCCGTTCACTGCCATGGTTTCCCTCCCTGTATGTTGTTGCATCTGCTCTCTCTCTCTCTCTCTCTCTCTCTCTCTCTCTCTCTCCCTCCTGGCAGGCTGTTCCCGACGTCAGCATCTCCGCTGCCACGTATGTGCTACGCGGTACTGGCACGCAAAGGAGTGCAAGATAAAGGT